CCAGCCACACTCCGAGCTCCGCGGCCCCGCTGCCGTGTAGCACAACGTGCGGGCGCCGTGCTTCTGGGCCCTGGGCTGGCACAGCGGCTGGCTGCAGGAGTCCAGGGGGCTGTGGACTGGAGGGGGTGTGGCCACACCTGTCGTCCAGGGCAGAGGGCGGGCTGGGGAGCACCAGCTGCGGCATGGAGACGAAGGGCTTGTCCCCCATCACGTGCTGGGGCATCTCCCAGGAGTGACAGCGACCGTATCAGCCCAGTCTGTTCTGTGAGAAAAATATCTGGTGAGCAAACTGCACCAACCCACGGACACATTACTGCCTCCGGATAGCACCCCACCCACCCTGTCCCCTGGGGCGGCTGCCGGCTCTATCTGCCTAGTCAGTGCCTGGGCTGGTGGGTGACCTTCCAAGACCAGCCCCATCCCCAAATCCAGGGCCCCACCTGGAGCCACACCTGCAGGGCAGCAGGTCTCGGCCACCATGGCTGGGGCCTGGGGGTGGGCATTGCCGGGCCGGGCCGAGGACAGCCCCCTCCTGACCGAGGCCTGGAAGTAGAGCTGAGGCACAGCAGGGCGGGCTGGGCGCAGGGGCCCATGGGCCACCCTGAGCACACGTCCCGGCTGAGCCAGGGCTCTGGATGTGCAGCTGCTGGTGTGAGGCCCTCCCCACACGAGCTTCAAGCTCAGCCCTCATTCTTCCTTAAACTCACACCTGCTAGCTTCCTGTGCCTTTAGTGTGAACAAGAACTCGGTCTTAGTCCAAAGTCTGGGGGGTGTGGGAAGTGAGGAAGCAGGGGAGATAGCAGAGCAGGGACCCCAGAGCCCTGGGAGTCCCCCCAAACAAACCGGAAACTGGAAGGGTGACGGGAGGGGGACCCAGGTGGGACATGATCAGGTCTGGGACTCAGTTGTGCATTTGGAGAGACCGGGCCACACCTGCCTCCTACGGCCCCTCCTGCGGCAGCACAGGGACGCCCACGCCTGCGGGTGCAGCCTTGGAGCCCTCCCGCCCTGGCCTCTGCCTGCGGCTGGACTCCCCTGCGCAGCCATCTCGCCGAGCCCGCGGGCAGCGGGCGCACCGTGCTCCTCTGTGCAACTGGAAAGTGGCACCCGCTTAGCTAATAATGTAAAGCCCGGCTCCTCTCTGGCGTTCTGCGGGGCCAGGTGTGGGTGCAAATGCTGCTGGGCAGAGCACAGTGAGCTTTGAAGAGCCCCACTGTACCCCACGGTGACTCACACTTTCCCAGGCTCTGAGAGGGCATCACTTGTGCACACCTGACTGCAGCCCACCTTATAGGCAAGGGAAGTGGGCCAGAGGGTCAGCCACGTGCCCAGGGCCACACAGCTGGCCGTGGCCAACAGCACTCGCCCGCGCTGCCTGGCTCCCAAGCCCATGTGCATGCGTCAGAGCTGGCCTCCCAGGCATTTTATTGAAAGAACGCAGCCAGCTGAGTGGCACGTACACGCGGGCCGCTGTTTGCTTTGGAAACTGGTGCCGCCAGGCTGTCAGCTGCTGGAGTTCAAGGCTGTGGGTAGGCAGCAAAACTTCCGCTGCAGCCATTCCCTGGGGCTGTTTTATTTATAGGCCCCGCCCTGTGCGAGCTGGCATGCCAGGCTCCTCGGAGAGCAGCAGGAAAGCCTGGTGCTGTCAGATTCATGGAAGGCTGCACCTCCCACCGCGGCCCAGACTGGTGCTCAGGTGACACCCAGCACGCACCCTGGGCACGCTGGAGGCGAGCACTCGGGGGGCAGTGGGACGCACGGAGGGTAACCAGCTGGAGCCCTTAGACAGGACAGCTCTGCCACCCACCGTCCCGCAACTGAAATATGGAGAAAGATGGGAAAAGCGTGAGGCCACCTGAAGTTCCAAGGCCCAGAGGCCACCCTGTCTCTTTTCTTGATGCACGCACAGACAGGTACCCCAACACGTGCACATGCAATCCACAGGCGCTGGGCCTTGTCCGGGGCCTGGAGCGCAGCCCGAGGGAAGGAGCCTAGCCAGGCCCAGGGGCCACCCAAGCCCGTGGGGGATGGAGGGTCAGTATTGCATCCCCAGGAATCACTCATAGGTGCTTATTTCCAGCAAGTGATCTGCCATGCAGATCAGCAGGTCCTGGACCACGCAGACCAGGTAGCCGGAGGACCAAGGTATGATTGCCATCGAACACCTGCCCACCGCCGCCCTCGCCACCCCTCCCATTGGCTCTGGACTCGCTCGCTCTCTCGGGCAGTGGGGGCATCAGGCCTTCTGCTGGGCCTAGGAGGCCACGTCACTAGCTTTTGTCATTAGGAATGGCCACATCGAAACAGAACTTCCTGTTTGAAAACAAAGCCACGTAGCACACGAATCACTAGCAGTGGACGGGCCCAACAGCTCTGAGTCAGGGTCAAGTCACCTGAACTGAAATCTACGGATCTCTGACCTAAACAGACGATGGGAAACCTATGACCCCACAGGTCGCATGCACTTAAAGCAGCACATTGGAAACCTTATTTTAGATATTAGCCCGGCGCCCCATTGGTGGCCACCACTCGCCCCGCAGGCCTCCTCCATGGCCCTCAGACCCGGTTCCTATGACGATGGGACCCACAGCAGCCACGGCATGGAGGGCGCTTCCCTTGATCCAGCGAGCGGGTGACAGCTCCTGTCACCTTCCATCACGCTCACAGCTCCGCGCCAGGGTTGGATTCCCGACTGGCGGGGGGATGCTTTCTCTGGAAGGCTCTGGGCCTGTCAGCGCATCTGTATCAGAAAGGGGAGCTGTGCCCCCACGACTCGGGCACTGAGGTGTAAGGGAAGCTGGAACGCGACGCCCCGACCACGGGGCCGTGGTGTCTGGAATCGGCCAGCAACAGCCAGATCCTGAGAGTCCAGGGCTGCATGACACTTGGCATCTCACAAGGTTGGTCCCACCTTCCTGGGACCTGCAGGGGAAACTTGTAGAAGGTATCAGGCCTGCGGGTGGCTGAGCCCTCCTGAGGCCGGTTCTTGGCTCCCACCTAACAGACAGCCCTGCACTCCATGCTGCCCCAGGAGGAGGGACCAGGTCTCCTGGGTGCTCCAGTTACATGAGCCCAGAGCTGGTGGTCTGCCTGGCACTCTCCGCCCACCCCTGGGCCATCCGCTCCCTGTTGCTCTGCAGCCTTCATCCCCCCAAGAGGACATCTGAGGCCGCAAGCCCTGATGGCGCCTTCGGGGCACCCTGGCCTACAGCAGGCCCCCAGCCCCTCCTCCAGTGGCAGGGGCTGTCCCTGGGCCAGTGGGGAGGGAGCCTGGGGCTTCGGTGAGAGGGCTGTCTTAGGGTGAGACTGCCCCTGGCCCATCAGCTGCACCCGAAGCATCTGGGGCATCTGCTGTGAAGAAATGGAGGCCACCCCCCCCCAACTGCACTGTGAGAAGCCAGGGGCCCACGGGTGGCTGGCAGCAGCCGCGTCTGTGAGAACCGGGACTCCGTAAAGAGCTGGAAGATTGGGACGCATCCGTCTACTCGACCTGCTCCTCTTATTTTCCCAGATGCGACGCGGGAGGTCCCCGTGCACCTGCTTACTTCCTTTTCCAGTCGGAGGCTCTATGCAAAGCAGAGCGGGCGGGAAGGACGCAGGGTTGCTGAGTGAAATGCTCAGCCTTAAGGCAGCCCCGGGGCCCTGGCCTCACTCCCTGAAACCCTGGTTCCTTGCACCATGACCCTGGGACTCCCCAGGCAGCTGTCTCCTCTCCTAGACCCATCCTGGTGTCTCTTGGGGAGGTGGTCGGAGTCACTTCTTGAAGTTGAGGCTCAAAGCTATTTATAGGGCAGACACCCCGATGGCAGGATTGGGGCGGCCACAGACGTGCCTGTAACCCTTGTTTTCATATTGGTGAGCTCGGAGGCTGCTTTGCATGGAGGCCACAATGAAGGATTGTCTGGGAGCGAGTGGGGAGGGCTGGTCCCTCAGGGAGTGTCCTGCAGTCTCCGCATGGACATTCCAGTGCTTGAGCCCCAGCTTGGAGGAGGGGTAGGCCTGTGGGCTGAGGGACCTTACTCCTCTTTCCGACCCACAATATTTGATCCAAAAAAAAGAGCCACCCCTCCCAGTCCAGGCGATGTGGAGGCTGAGAGGCCGCCTGAGAGCTGGCAGGAGCCCCGCCACGGGGTGGGCTTCTCAAAGCCTCAGTTTCCCTGCTAGAATAGGTGCGTGACATCATGGGGAGGAGCCCTGAGGCGAAGGACCCCGCCTCTCCACTCACAGTGGTCCAGGCACCCCTGGAGGCTCACGAGAAATCAGACGTACGGAAGGGTACGTATGGGGCTTAGGGGCGCCGGAAGGAGCAAGCTCTGTTCACATGAGGGGCCCACCCAGGCCTAGGCTGGGCTTGCCATTTCCTGGGGCCTCTGGGGTCCATGGTGCCTGCAGAGAGGTAGATGCCCACAAAATGCAAGGGCCCCACACAAGCCCAGAGTGGGCATGAGGTGCCACCTCTGTGGCTCCAGCCAAGGGGTGATGCCTCAGGTAACCCCCAGGTTTGCCACAAAAAAGGTCACTGAGGAGAGGCATCCCCCAGGGGCGAGGGTGCTCAAGTGGAGCCCCGCTCACGCGGGAGGGAGGACCTGTCAGGATCGCCCGTCCGGGGCCTGTGACTCTGGAAGCCCATCGGCGGAGCCAGCTGGGTCTGTCAGCAAGCTCTGCCCTGCACCTGGGCCTCGTCATGAGCAGACACATGGTTTGTGACAGTGCCTACCTGTCCCCAGAAAGGTGTCTGAGAGGCCAATTCTGTGTAATGCTGGCGAGTTCGGGGCTGTGCTGTGGCCACTGGGGGGCGGGGGGGGCGGTGAGGGTGTCCAAGGATAGCAGGCTGAGGGCCAAGCCAGGGCCGGCCCAGGAGGGGACACAGCTGAGGGCCAGCCAGGCAGCCAGGCAGCCAGGCCGCTTTCCTCCGCCTCCTCCAGCAGCACCCGGTCACCTGAGGTCGAGCTGCTGCCCCCATTCCCGGTGGAATCCCAGTGGGCCTGTCCGATTTCCTCCCACAAGCAGCCTCACACCCACCACGGCCATCCCGGTAAAAAGCAGCCTCGGCGTCCTGCGGATTATTGCATGTCCCCTTCCGAAGGCAGACAATGGGCTCTTAGCCTGAGTGGAGGAGACCACGTGACTCGAGGGGGAACATTTTCGTGGTCTGTGTCCACACCCAGCTGGACGCCACGTGGAGGAGGCAAGGGGATGGCCCAGCCCAGCTCCTGTCTGTCCGCCAGCACCAGGCTCTGGTCTAGCTCCCTGCGCGTCACCCATATCTCCCAGGGGGAGGCCCAAGGGACTCAAAGTCGCCACAGTAGCGGCCACTCCCCCCAGAACATGAGTTCACAAAGCCAGGAGTTTACACTCCTCGGCAATGCTGCCTGGGGATGGATGGCCTGACACGCACTGAGACCTCTGGAGGGAGTTGACGCTCAGCCCAAGGAGCTAACGCCATGGCGAGCCAAGCGCACCTCCGCCGTTGGGAAGTTGGGTGCGCACCGCGGACCCGGGCACCGTGGTTGTCAGGGCCGAGGACAGCCAGGAGCCGAGCGGAGTCCCTGGGGACCCGGTGCTCTGGCAGAGACCGGTCAGCCCCAAGACCCCCGTTCACACAGCCCGGTCCTGCCCACAGCAGGGCCGGCCCTCCCCATGGCGACAGGGTGGAACTTGGTCCGCACCCGCCTGGCACCTGCTCCGGGAGCCACACCCGGGGACTCACGGGTTAGGTCAGAGCCACCCAGGAGGGAAGCAGACCCAGGAAGAATTCCCAGGTAGCACCTTGGGCCCTGCCCAGCAGGAAACAGGACAGGTCCCCACCCAGGGCAGTGAGGAGTGTGGGTCTGACTCAGGCACCCCTCCTGTCTGCCCCCAGCAGCACAGGGAAAGCCTGGCAGTGCCGGCCTGCTCCTTGGAGGTCTTCCCCGTCAGCGTAGGGCCCACCAGCCAGCCGCGTTCTGTGTCAGAGCTGTCCCACACTCGCCAGAGCAGAGCTACACTGTCTGGAATTACACAAGCCTGGATTCAACCCCTTCGCTTCAGACTAGCTGTGCTGCGAGCGGGTCACTCAGCCAGGGGGCCTCGGTTTACTCTCAGGGGAGTGGGAGCAGCAGTGGCTGCCTCCTGCCGTGGCCAGGACCAACGGGATGATGCTCAGGGTACGTAGCACAGGGCAGACACAGTCTAAGTGCTCAGCAAACAGCTCCTGCTGCCATTATTGTGAGAGTCATAAATGCAGCAGCTAAAACCAGGAGCTTTCTGCCCACTGAGGCTCTCTTGCCCCCCCTCTGCCCCCCCACCACCCGCAGAGAACAAGCCCTCGCTGCAGGGTACGGTTCACCAGGCCGCCACTCCCCGAGCCAGTCTCTGACCCCACAGAGGAAATCCAAGCTCCAAGCAGCACAGGGAAGTGGAGGCTGGAAGCTGGCTAAACTGTGGAAAACTACTGTGGCTCCTACAGCCCCTGCCGCCATATCCAACGGCCGGGCGGCAGGAGGGAGTCCAGGCACTGGGGGTCGCCCCCAACTGACCCCACCCCGCCCCCGGGGCACTGACCCCACCGCCCCAGTGGGCTTTCTCCACCAGGTTCGCCAAGCAGAGGCTCCCTCCCCGAGAGCAGGTCCCGGGGTCTGGCTCCGTCCACACCTGCGGCCCAGTGTGCCCACTCGGCGCCAAGGGCGGTCTCCCATCCTTGTTTTCACCCTGCCCTGCCCTCCTCTTGCACCCAGGGCTCCAGGGCCCCCCAGCTGCAGCTCTGAGCCGGGCAGCTCTGGGCCGGGCC